AAAAAGAATCTACAAAGACATGCAGCAGCGGCTTGTAACTCCGCTCCTTGAACCGACTTTTAGAGGGGTGTGGGTTTTATGAATACATTTTTGTATTAGGCCTCCGCTTCAGCAGCGTCGACTTCTTGTCTCGTAAGTGGTCCATGTAATAAATACGCTCATACTTGCGAAATCAATTCTTGATTTCTTTAATATACATTGTTCAGACAGAGCGATATTGTTTCTGAAAAACGGAACACGGTGGTACGACAGGTTCATTTCAGAAAACCACGTCAAGAACCTGTAGTACGTGTATGATAATAATTTTCATTCCGGATATCGTTTTGAAGCTCAATAGCGCTAATTTGAAAACAGGTTCTGGCGATAGAAAGATATTTATTACACACGAGGAATGTATCGGTAGAAATCAAGACCCTTTGAGAAATGGAGCTACATATGGTATAGATAGAAGGGATTAAAAATGTGCTTCAAATGATTATAATGAAAACGTTAATATTATCCTTGAAGGTGTGTCCAAACAAATGTAAAAGTACCAAACCATTTTGTCCTATTAAGAGCTCTCAAAGTATTCATAAATTCACCTGGGACCACTGTGTCTGGGTTGGAACTTGGGACCATTTTGTCCTACACCCAAATATACACTTTGCTCTGTTTTCTGCGCAAAAACTTTGCTGTTTCGAGTCCAAACGAATCGCCATTGGCATTCGCGCTTCTTGGACATTGCCAGTGAAAGAAGACGTTTTAGCGTAGGGCATAGGTGCTCATCCCGGTGCAGTTGCGGTTCGTCCGGAATTCTGACTTGGCTGCTCCTGATGCGGCTTTTACGGGCAATTTCGAGAACTGTCTCGTTTTTGCCTGCAGTTTAACTGTACGATGACATTGCTCTTGCCTGCCTCACGGGTTGGCACGAGATGACATGACTCAACATCGTTGGCGGCAATGGGTTCACCTATCACTTCGCCCATGATGTTCTCATTTTCTTTTTTTCTGTACATGCCGTTTTATTCTTTTGTTAGACCTTCGCGAGCACCTGGAACAGCCCTCTACGCCTTTCTTCCTCGCAATGCGAAAACGCAGCTCATGCGCTTTTGCGACTGATGGCCGCAAGAGGTGTCCGCCATTAAATTGCGAACGCTTTTCACGATTTGAGATCGATCCTCTCTTCAAGCTATAGGCTAAACTCTCCCGACCCAGAGTTCCTGCAGAGCCCCAACGAAGGTGGCGCTCCCACAATGAAGCAACGCGAGCGGCTCGCGACTTCTCGGACGGCGGACCCCGTTGTATTATCCTCCGTCCGACGGCATAGTACAGGAGGCGTTGGTCCCTGTCATGTGATTCCTTTTTCTTTGTTCGAACTCTCTCTTTGTCTGGGCTTGCTGAATAATGAGACCGGCTGTCGCCTCGTCCAGCATGTGTATGCCTTTTGTGACGACCCTTCAGACAACCTGCTACCCGGCAATTGTCTAAATAAAAATGATTTTGATTTTGAAATCCTCAAGAAAAAAAAATATTAAGAAAACGAGGCGGTTTATCGAACCTTCTCTCGGCGTACATCTTCACTTTGCCCACTGCCGGTAAAAGTATTTATTTGACGATCTGCGGCGTACTCACTCGCCGAGACACGCATCGCCTTTCGAATAGAAAAAAAAATAAATAAATTGCTTTGACGACAATACGATAGTGAAACTGAACAAATTGACACATGTTTCACTAAGGGATAGAGAAAGAGATAAATGTAGTTATTGGAAAGCTGAAGAGACTACCCCCTATGAATGGGTAATCTAATTAATTACACTTATTAACAAAATACAATGAGTGTGTAGGTGAGCTGGTGAAAGTGTACCATGACGACGGCTAACCTTCGATTGAGGCACACACAAAAAAAGCATATGAAGGTCGCCTTTTATTTGCTGTTTTCTCCACCACTTTAGAGTGCGTTTTCCGTTCCTTTCCTTGATTAAACCATTGTACACACGGTGCGATTTTTCTTGTTATCGCACCGTGTGTATAATGGTTGCAAAGCGTCGTGGAACGCGGGTTCCACGACACTTTGCAGCAGGAGTGACAGGGCAACTGCGAAACCGCAAGTAAAATCGCATCATGTGAATCGGGCATTATTGTCGTCATGGTATACCTTGTTATTTGAACAGTCGCGCAGGATCCTTTCTAAATCAAATTGTTACATGTTGTTATCCTCCATGCGGGTGTCAGGTTCAGCTGGCTATATGTAAATATATGATTTAAACTTTAGCCGAGGGCAAAGTTAAAAAGAAGAAAAACTAAGAAAATTGTCAAGGGAAGCGTCAAATGCGCAAATAAAGACAGCACAATGGAGAAAAGTACACCTAGAAGCTATTTTCTAATATTCCTTGACATTTTAATTAAGTACTTTCTAAAATGATGTCTTTTCTGAAGTAATGGAAATCTCAATGAAATTACTTCTGTTTGCGGTTATTTCTAATGTAGCTAAAACGTGTGCGACCGATTTCACGCTAAGCAAAATTTAGACTGTCTCAGTTATTAGTTGAGTAAAATGTATATCTATAAATTACCTCTCCGTCTATTCCCAGTCAACTCCCTTGCGTCGCCAAGCAGCAAGACCCCTGCCTGGATGAGTATCAAAATCCACTTCATTTTCAGGCCCAGGATTGATTGTGCGCTCAGATGCATTAAAAGGCACCCTTATTTCTATCCACGATCTCATAAAACGCTCGCAACTTTCCGAAACGTGCGAGTGGAAATAACGACTCCTAACATAAAACACCTTTAGTGCCTTTGTTCTACAACTATAAAGGGCGAGATTTCTATTCAGTGAGAAACTATTCGAGATGAAGCGAAGATGCAAGGAATGTTTCAAAAGAACTATATTCCGGCTAAGCAGCTTAGCTCTATGCTTTGGAGGGCTTGAAGCCAGTACATCACACACTGGCCTCCGGTACGTGATGTAAAAAGTGCGGCCGTGTTATCTGGGAAGTATTGTCGAGATGAATGAGCAAACCGTGTGTTCCTGGAAAAGCCGCCAAGAGCTCGGGGAAACGTCACTGCCGTTTTGTCAGGTTTGCTACAAGTTTAATTCCTTCCGTACTCTACTTCTTCCTAACAGCTTATCTAACCTTCGTGCCTTCTGTCCTTGTAAATAAGTACAAATAACGCTTATGCAAATTGGCCGCAGTGTTTTGTATGCTTTTTATTTACTATCTTATCACGACCAGCAACGCTGAGTCACCCTTGCTGATGTAAGAGCTTGTAGCATCAGGGCTATAGCCCGTTCTTCTTCACCACGAAGGAAAGAAGTGCCTTTCTACATTGTGCGATTCGTGGTGCTAGCCACGTGATAGAACGCCAAAAACCAGCACGGGCAATCGACGGACAGCGCTGGCTGGACCCTTCAAGATCGATCGAGCTTTGTAAATAGTGTAAATAAGTATGCAGTTGTCCCACGAAAGGCACACTACATGTGTGGTTATCCACAGCAAGAGCTTCGAGGTTCAGACGAGATGAGGTGTCGGCAGCACTGTTGTCTTGTCCCTTCACATGGCTTAAGTCGGCGATGAATTTCGCGATGAAGGCGAGGTGGGAAAGCTTTCCGGGAGGGTGATTTCAACTGGGTGACTGAATAGCATGGACGAGGGTCTCAGTCGCCTAGTTGCATCAGGGCGGCGTCGTGTCCAGCATGCTCCTCAGCGCTGAAGAACTTCGTGACCTCCGTCCATTCCAGCTCGAGACTGGTGCCTTCAACATCGAGTGGGCCTTGTAAATAGTGTAAATAAATATGTGGAGTGTGCCTTCCTGCGGAAGGCACACTCCACATTAGTAGCGTCACAAGGGGGAGGGAAGGGGGCGGAGCGCTCCGGCGACAAGCCGGGGGGGGGGGGGGGGGGGTGTTGCGGTGTGGAGTGTTTTTGACATGACTCATGCAAAAGTGCTAAAAGTTGAGCTATGGGAGTAACAGTGGCACTAATAAGGGAGCGGCTAGCCTGGCATGGGCAGGCATTGTTTGGCTTAGAGCACAAGTGCTTTAAGCATTGTCACATATGGAGAGAAGCATATTTGCACCAGGAACACATTCCAGAGCTCAGCATTCCTTTCACGAGGGTGCACAGGGCTCTGCTACTCAATGCTCACGATAAGCACAACAGGGCAATTAAGCTTTTCATAATAATTCCAACTTGAGTATTTCGTGAGGAACAAGAACTCGGTTCCTATAAAAGAGTGCGACAGAAAGCTAGATGCAAGGAAAACTGACAACTAAATCATGACCCAGGCAAAGGTATGGCAGCTCACACCAGCTCACCTTTCTACATAATGACAAAGGAAGTGGCACTGTTTGTGAAACAGAGCACGTGCAGATGATTTACTCCTCAAAAAGCCAGCTCCTGCACATGCATGCAGTGCTCACAGTTTCTGTGCGGTAACCTGCTTGTTTACAGACTGAGTTGGTGTATAGGAGTTGGGGGGGATGTTGAAATACAGGGAAAGAGTAAATGGATACCGTTTCAAGACATGAAAAACAACAGGCACAATATTCTTTTATGAATCAGTCTTTCATTGAATATTATTTAATCACAGCCAGTACCTGGATCACGAAATGAACCTGTATGATAACATACCCAACAAAGTGCAAGCTTCCCATCAGCATCACTTCCTAGAATGTGCACCAAGGCAGATATCTGGTGTCAGTAGTAACAATGAGATAGGCTGAGCACACATAATGTAACACAAAAGAATTGAAGGTGAACATTTCGGCAGACGTCTGCCTGGTTGGGTTAAATGTTATAAATTTATTTGATAACATTTATTTATAACACAAAAGAAGGAATGCAAAACTAAAACAACACTGAAGGAATATTCAGAAAAAGTGAAAGCAGAGAAGGTAGGCAGTTATGAAGTAAAAAGTTTTACCATAACGCTGTGAAACAAGAATTAAACAACTTTTCTATTTAGCTTTTTTTTTGCGCTGTACAAAGGATCTGCTATTTCTATGAAACAGGTGCTGTCAATCAAGCCGGACTTGGCATGTTCCTACCGGAGGCACCACTTTGACGTTGCTGTTTCAGCAACTGCGCCTGCCAGCTGCTTACCAGGCAACTGCTCACAGAATGCAGTTTCCCAGACTCGCAGAAGTACAGCTTGACTTGCATAAGGTTCTCGCTATAGACGACAACCTCAGCGAGAAGGTCTTTTCCCGCCGTAGACTCCACAAGAGCCGCACATGCTTCGGTGCTCCAGGTATGTTCACGGTCACTAACTTTAGGCTCCACGTCGGCCAAGCACGCCTGCACAGCCTGGAAGGGCAGGCGCAGGAACCGCGTTTCCAGCGGCTTCACCCAGCTTGCAGACACCCAATCCTCATCTCCGAAGTCTGGGAATGCCACTCTCGCAGCATTCCTTTCGGTGTTAAGGCCAACCACTTTTGCACGATACCACCGCTCCTTGTCCCTGCTTCTGGCGGCTATCAGCTCACCTTCAGATTTATGTAGCAGCCTGTCTTCATTAAAAGAGCTACAGCTGCAGGCCACTTGCAAGGTCTACGACTCTCAAATCTCTCTTTGGAAGCTGACGATCCCTTCTCAATTAGCTTCTGGATGGATTTATGGCCATAGGGAAAGACGAGATGGAAGTTGCTAGGGCTCACTGCATGCGAGACCTGTGCCAATACTGTGCTGCCTTCCTTGGAGAGCTTGAGGGTTGCCAAGCATATGGGAGCTTCCTCCTTGACATGCAGGATCATAAAATTCTTTACACCCAAGACGTGCTCGTAAAATGCAGTACTCGTCTTGCCTGCAGTAGCCCTGGGCGCTGAAGAACTTGCATATCCTACTCTCGTCCTTCACAGCAAAGTCTGCGGTGGCCACTCCAGGATCGTCTGTCCCCGTCCGGGTGCTGGGTCCGGCGCTCCAGTTCTCGCCGAATTCGAGACTGGTACCCGGCCGGGAGAAATTCGTCCTGGAACTTCTGCCGGAAATCTCCCCAGCTCAGGAACGGGGCCACGATGCGCCACCAGCGTGCGGCGCTCGCCTGGAACGCCATGGGCAGCACCCGTGCCAGGACGTAGTCGCCCAAGGCGCCCGTGGCGATCTTCTAGGCCGCCAGCTCGGCCAGGAAGTCGGCCACAGACTTCCGGTCGTCGTGGCCCATGTACACCGGGACTGGGACCTGGGGTCGTGGTCCTTGGGCCAGGCGTTGCACAACCGAGTCGCAGAGGTTGGCAACACGTGCCATCAAGTCTGTCGACATCGGGTCAGGCTCTTCTGCGGTCGTCGCCCTGCCCTGTGGTGCCTCTGCGGCGGCTTATCGCGAAAAGGCAAAAACACAAAAAAGAGAACGAAGCGAAACAAAAGAAAACACACAAAGAAATATACACAAGAGCCGTGCTGCGATAGAGGATGGCAAAGATGGCGTCCGGTCGCCGGAGCCTGATCGAACGGCCACGTAGGCCTAAGGGGCCGGGCAAAGTCAAAACGGGAGAAACGCGGCTAAAAATGTCTAAAACGGGCTAAACGCCTGTGGTCCAACCTGCAGGAGAGCAGTGGGCCCCGCATGGAGCGCCAAGAAATGTAGGGTTCCGTGCCACTGCTCGCCCGCAAGGAGGACCAGCGAGGCAGGTATCAGAATAAACTCACTTTTACTGTTCTCGACTGTCCCTGCGAGCTGCCTGCACTGAACTGGCCAGGCTCCAAGCTCCCACTCGCTCGCGCGTCTCGTTCTGTAAGAAAAAAAAGGCTGTAGTCGGATGCATCAGGCGCACATGCACCATTTTACTGAAAGATGCACCCTCCGTTAAGGCCTGTTAAAGAGACTACTACAAAAATCGTCAGGCCACACGACTCCTGCAAAAATCGTGAAAATTGAGAAGCGTCCGGTAGTCGTCGGTCGTATGTCTGTTTGGACACCGGCCAAGCCAAATTCCCGACTTTCCTCCTCGTCTCCTCCACTTTTCTTTGACGTCAGTGCTCGTCAGACTTGACGTCACACCAGGCGCGTAACCAGGGGGGTGGCCCATGGGGCCCGGCCCCCCCCCCCCCCCCCCCCGAAATCTTCCATTTTGATGGGACCTCCTCTCCCCCCTCCCCCTCATACAGCATTTTGTCATGGGCGCCCCCCCCCCCCCCCCCCCCCCCCCCCGAAACAAAATCCTGGCTACGTGCCTGCGTCACACGCCACCTGCCAATGGTGTTCCTGATGCCTGTCTATCTCCCGCGGCTCACTCCGCCCCCCAACGCGCCCGGCCCCCCCCCCCCCCCGCCGTCTTCATTTACAACGTTCACAACGACGACGAAGTCGCCGACGTCGCTACCGCCATCACCTCGTCAGGAAGGCCAAAGAGGTCCGGCTTCGGGTGGATTTGGAAGATTCCTGCGTCGAAGCGCGCGTTTCGGCCGCCCCGGCTCAGCTTTCTTTGTCAAAACCCACGTTCGTAGCTCGAAAAAAAAAAAAAAAAATAAAGAGCAGTGCGCAATTGACTGACAGCCAACAGAGCGTGTGAGTGCAAGGACGTTTAAACAGACAGGACCCGGCATGACGTCAGCCTGAGTGAAGCCGGAAGAAGCGTTTAATCCCAGACTGCCTTGCGCACACCGTTGCGAGGCTGTGGGGTAGCGCACCGAGGGTTCGTCTGCTTTCTAATCTGCTCCGGCGTGTGCTTCACGAGGCTAGCTTTCGATGCGGTCAGCGTCCGCCGTGGGCGTCCACGATGCAAATGCTTTGCAGCGTGAGTGTTTATACTTAGTTCCACATTATGTGCGAGCGAAGTCAGAACTGGAAGTGCGAGCCCGTTGTTCTGTGCGCTCCTGGCTTGCATGCGCGCTCGTGCTATCTGTGCACTGTCCAAAGATGTATGCTCGTGCTCGAAGCTCCGGCTCCGCTCGGACCTACGATGAAACGTACTATAATAACAACATAGGAATCAAACGCAGGTGTCCCAAAACGCCAAATGCTGGTGCGGTAGGCAGTGGACAGTGAAATCTGCCCGCGTACGACTACGATAAGCAGCGCGACAAGGCGCTGAGCGTAGAGACCCCCTTCGTTCAGAAAGTACGTGATCAACCCAAAATCGATTCAGTTTGAGTTGCAACTTCTCTAAAATCTAGGCATTCTAAGCTTACAAAGCGAGCTGCGCGGGGCCACTCTTTGGCTTGAGACGTGGCGTGGTGGAATCGCACAATAAAATATGAACACAAAACAAACTGTTTTCGCTCTTCGTCACTCTCAATAAGACCTACATCGAATTCTATACGATGATGGTAGCACGAACGAAAGGTCGAGGTCTTCCGTATACATAAAGGTAAGACACGTTAGTTTGAGTTTATAAGGAACAACGACAAGCAGCTTCACGAATCCCACTAAAGAGCAAGTTATCCCCATCTAGAACAATAATTCAAGCTCTGTTTTGAAGTATCAGGTGAGTAAATATATTTACATATCTAGTGAGATCAAACACTTTCTTGTTTGATCTGGATGAGCATCGTACTGAACACGGGCTCGTGAAAATCGTACTTTGAAAGGTAGACCGCGATCGCATATGCTCTATATGAAAACTCGAAGAGGGGTATCGGTGGCCTAGTGCGCTAATGCGTCGCAGCTAGGAGCACGTGCAGCGAAAGCTCACGATGCAGAGCCCAGGAAATCCTGGGTTCAATTCCCACCCCTGCCCATGTCCATCTGGATAGGCATCGTACCGGCACACGTTCGTGTTTCACTACTGCGTGACGCACGTTAAAGGGAAGCTGAAGCGGTTTTGAATTGGATGAAAAACACTTGATTCTTTTTAATCGAACTTCAAACATCACGAGCATCGCAAAAAGTATTCTATTCCATGCCCGTGTTACCTTAAAAGACGCTTTTTAAGATGCGTTGAAACCACGCCTCTCCGCGGCAGCGGGAAGTAAAAGGAGAAGGGAAAGGCATGACGTATGACGACGTCACAAAAGTACCTTCGCTCCTGCGGCTTCTCGCCTCGCCTGTGCTGCTCGGCTCCCGTCGTGCGTCGTTGTTGCTCAATTGTTTAGTTTCTTTTCGGGTCTGTTAATTTTTTCTTTTATCGCGTTTGTTCAGTTTAGTTTCACCTTTTTGTGTTGCTGTGGACTTTGTTGCCAGCTCGGCGAACGAGCTTGCTATTTAGGAGTTTCAGCAAATATAGGGGGCGCTCCGATCGATCCAACATGGCGGACAAAAGGGGGACAGATTTGCGACGCCCGTAAGCCGGTAGCGTATAAATAAAACAAAGTGTGTCGTTCTTTGTTGTCGTGTGCGAGACGATCATCGTTTCAACCAAGACCTACCGTGATATGATACAGATGAAGTGTTCAAGCCACTCGAAGGCAAGAAATCTGGCCATAGTCAAGATATGTGTGCCAGTGTTCGACGTGAGCTCTCGCGCTGGTGCAGCTGTCATCAAGTTGAACCGAAAGTACGCGGGTCCAAAGAAAGGTACAGCTGCAACGGAAAAAGAGTAGCACAAGTGACCGATGACCGGAGCGGCAAAATCGCGACACGCGGCGCTCTTGTTCTCAAGCGTGCCGATAGCGAGAGTGCCAGTCACGTTGCATGTCTCAACGCGGGGGTGGCCGGCAGAAAATTGAGAGATAAGATAGCTGTTACAATGAGGGCTTTCGGATGGGCTGTTTTTTATAGACACTCAAAAATATAGTATCCGGTGTCAAAATATAGACACTCAAAAACTAGTATCCGGTGTTATCGGGGTGAACGTCAGCGATCACTTGCCCATTTTTCTCATGACTACTCAAAACGCAATAGTTGAATCATATAAAGAAATTCATACTCTTACATTTCAGGACGTTAATCCACTAACATTAAAACAATTTCGCAATGAACTCGCACAGATATGCTGGGATATAGTATATAGTAAAACTACCCCTGATGAAGCGTACGACACGTTTTTAACCTTGTTTAAGTCGGTTTATGTAAGATTATTTCGTCACAAGGCATCAAGAAGCAAAAAGTCAAGGAAACCATGGATAACGAACGAGTCGTTAAAACTAATAAAACAAAAAGATGCTCTTTATCGGCGGTTTTTACAGACAAGAAACTCAAATGATCTACATGCTTTCAAAGTTTTTCGTAATAAAGTGACTAGTTTTCTTAGAAATGCAAAAAGGAATTATCTTCACAACCTGTTCAATGCCGACATACTAAAACGAAGTGACATTACGTGGCAAAGACTGAATACAGTGCTTGGTCGTGGCCAGCAACACTCACAGTGTATTCAAGAGTTACTTTTAAATGGCCAAGCAACATCGGGAACGGCGCTAGCTAACTCTTTTAATGACTTTTTTGTATCGCTGGCTAACAGTACATATGATCCGCGTAGTTTAGAATACCTAAAAGCTGGAAACCGTGAAAGTGCGTTTTAGGACCGACTAATGCTGAAGAAATTTATCACGTGTTTCTTTCATTCCGTAACAGTAACTGTTGTGACGCCGATGACTTGCAAATTCGTCCAGTTAAGTACGTCCTAGATCTAATTTGTCCTGCACTTGAACATATTTATAACCTGTCATTTATACACGGCGTATTTCCAAAGCGTATGCAGTTAGCGAAGGTGAGCGTTTTGTATAAAGGGGGTGACAAAAACGAATTATCAAATTACAGACCAATATCAATTCTTCCCGTTTTTTCAAAAGGTCTAGAAAAATTAATTAATGATAGAATGACTGCTTTCTGTGAAAAACATAGGATAATCACAGACTTTCAATTTGGCTTCAGAAAGGGTCGTTCAACCGAGTCAGCACTCCTGACACAAAAAGAATTGATTCTCCATGCCATTGAACACAAACTGCTAACACTAGTGATTTTTGTAGATTATTCAAAGGCCTTTGACCGAATAAACCACGTTACCTTACTAAAAAAACTCGATATCTATGGCTTCCGAGGGGTATTTCTAGATTTGTTGAAAAGTTATCTTCAGTTTCGTTTCCAGAAAGTTGTTATAAACAACAAGGTGTCA